GCTGTCCTTTGCTCAAAGCCAATCAAATCTTTCCAGTATCTCTCTCCTCTAAATGACTATTGATTTTAATCTTCAATCATCTCATTTTTCTCCAGCTTCTATTTAGGTGATGCATGATCTCTTTTCAAACCTACTTTTACACTTGATGGGAACAATGGCTTCTTACCAATTGTAATATGCTGCACAGCACTTATTTCAGAACCTATACATAGGAGCTGCTCAATAGATAAGTACCAAATTGCACTTAGTCCACTTGACTATGCTGCAGAATTTGGTACAGATATTTCCATTTAATAAGACAAAAACAAAGTTGTAGTCATCACCTCTTTTCAGCTGTATAAAATAATATGATGTGATAGCTTTATGACTTCATATATGAAGTTACACACTTGGAATACAGTAATACAGTGTTTAGAACAAAACATAAATTCAAACAGGAATAAAAATAACACATAGATCAACCTAAGTTTAAATCCTGAATTGACCTTTTCTAATTGTTATGTAGGAAAATTGCCAATTTCTAAGGCTCAGTTATTTCACCTTTAAGATGAAATACCAGCTGTAACTATATTTGGGAGATTTTGTGTATACTAAATCAGACTCAGACTCTCTCTCTCTCTGTCTCTCTCTCTCTCTATCTATATATATACACACACACAAAGAGAGAGAGTCTATATATGTATATATAGTTTGTATATATATGTATGTATATGTGTGTATAGTGTGAGTTAATATATATATGTGTTTATATCAATTAGTATAATACTTGTAATACTATTATTAGTATTATCATGATATAGACTGTTGACCTATATAAGCACTATCTAACTTAATTCAGCATTAATTTATTTGCAAAAATGCATTGCTTCCTAAAAATTCTGACAGATGATATGACCACATTTTAAAACTAAAAACATAGCTATAAATTAATAAACTCCCACAAATTATGGAAGAACTTGATTCAAGTTGCATACCTTCTTTTTAAGAATGTGTGAATTCTGTGGGGGTGAGGTGTAAAAGCTGGTGTTTGAAAAATGTATTAAAATAGGTCTTTAAGAAATAAAAATCTGTGTCTTTTGGCATTGCTACAGTGTAGAAAATGCATCTGAAGTATGTGGAGCCAATGGCCAGATTGAATGCTACACTACCAATTTCAGCTGCATTTAGTTTTCCTGAAAGCCACCCACATCCTCAAACACTAGTTTCTAAATGCACATGCTGAGAAATTTTGTTAGCCCAAATATTAAAAATGATTTTTAAAATTGTAGAAAAATGGGGTCAAATGTAGGATATAGTTCAAAATCCAGAGAGATCTTACAATTGCCTGGGGACTTTTTCTTTGGTGGCATTGAGGAACTCACTGCAACTGTCAATGCTAGCATGGGAGTCTTTGAACCAATATTTTGGTATAAAAATCAAGAGATAGTGGCAAAATCAGTCCACTTTTTAGGCTTCACCAAAAAAGGAAAAAGAAAAAAAAAAAAGAACAAACTCTGTGGAATCAAGTGCTCCGTCATGCCTTTTTCAGTAAATTACCTTTGCAAGGCTGATGATGACTTTTCTTATAGGCTCCATCCAGAAGACTGAATGTGTTAAAAAAAAATCCTAACAAAACAAAACAAAAAACCTGAGCATACATTGAACCACACTCAGACCATAGCTTTTCAAGTGGCAAAAAGGAGGTTTTTCTAGTACTTCTGACACTAAACTCCACTGGAGCATACTTATAGCATGAGAATAATGTACAATGGTGAGGCTCAGCTATATTTGCAAATTATTGGCTAGTAATTTGCATAATACTAGAGAAGAAAAGGTTGATTCTACCTATAGGGTCTTCATTTGTATTTTTAAAATTCTCTTCCTGTCCCTCTTTCTTTTCAATGAAAAGAAATATATATTCCAAATATATAAACCAGAGGCAAGTGAGAAGTTTTGAATTAGAACAGACGGCTAAGGACAGTTCTTCAAATTAATTCCATGTACTATTAATAATGCTAGCTGAAAAAAATGTGCAAAACACTGTTTTAGTTATATTTAAGTGGGATTCTTCACTAAAATACTTGTTAGTGCCTTTTGTATACTAATGTGTATCATGATGCTATTGAGAGAGTTGTGTAAAACACAATTTTCAGCACTTTCTTAACCTACTTGATTTTTTTCCTCACAATCCTTACTTAAGCAGCAGTGTACTAGAGCATGAAAAACCAAAAAAGAGTTTAACGGTGACTTACAAACTTTCAAAGTATTTCAAAAGCCATAAAATGGAAAAAGGAACACCATTTTCTCTTTGAATATCTTATTCTTTTTGTCCTCTTCAAAGGCTGGTCCCTGTGCAGGAAAAATCTGGAGATGGTTCTTGCCAAACATGCAAAGCAGGTCTGTAATATGGGTAAATGCTTTTGTAAGCATAGAACTACACACTGGAATGGTGAAACTGGTCATAGGAACACTTTGTGGTACCCAACATATAAAAGCCGAAAATTGAGCTTGTTTCTTTCAAGGTATAGAATGAATGGAGAGAATAGGAGTCAGCTCATCCCCAGGCTCCTCTTGATTCTTCCCCACTTCTAACTGGAATTCAGGGATTCCTCAAAATTTGTAGACCGTATGAACTCCCCCATTTTGTAATTTGATGAGAGAGAGGGTAATTATTTATTTAACAGAATAATTTATGTTAATATTTAAAATACCTCTTATTCTGATGAGTATTTTGATGGATCTAGTTGAGGTTAATCTTAGGAAGTGAATAATTAGGCAAATAATCAAGAGAAGAATATAGGATCCCCAAGGCAATCCAGGTATAGGGAAAGGAAATGATGAAAAATAGGAAAAGGAGGAAGAGAAGACTCAATCAGAGAGTTTAAGGCCGAGGTACAAAGTGTTATATATTTCATTAGGGAAGATATCTGAGGGCAGAAAACTTGTAATTATAAAAACTCTGCAATTTAATTTTAAATTATGTTCATTACTATGACTCTAAAACTTTCCTTATCTCTTTAGATCACCAGTAAAATTTAAAAACCATTGTAGAAACTAAATATGAAGCAAGTTTCACTCCTAGGAATGGAACAAGGACAGATTATATGGGACAATTGACCAATCAAATGATGCAATCCAGCAGTAGGTAGTGCTCAGACCACAAGAAAGAAAGAAATCTGGTATTAGCAGAGATCGTAAGGAGGGCTTGCACCTGTCTAGGATGTATAATGAAGGGTTGGCAATCTTAATTTAAATTGCAAGGAACAGGGAGATCCCATTAATATCTGAAGAGCAGAAGGAAGTTAGGATTTTGTAAGGAAGAATGCTTCCATCCCAAAGGATTCTGGCTTTGACTACCACAAAATATTAATAGCACTGAGTTAGTTGGCCTATGATCCTAATGAACATTTGGCCACATCTACTTGGATGCCTTCCTGGCACTTATATGCAGCATGACCCTGATAATATAGTACTCTTTCCTCTTCAAAGGACCTTATTTCTGGTCTTGAATGTTCCTTCATCCTACTTCCCAATCAGAAACCTTATCCTTATCTCTTTCTTCCATTTGTGCCACATAGCTAAATAGTCACCAAATCATCCTAATTTTCACTGCTTGCATATCATTCCTTCTAAGTTTTCTTACTTTATCATTTTAGATTGCTGAAACAGTTCTAAGCACTTCTTAACTGCCCACTCTCTTCACTCTATCTTTTAAGCTTTATCAATTATTATCTAACATGAAGATCTGGTCAAGCCATTTAACTGCAAGATACCATTATTTACCTCCCCGTTGCTTACAGGGTGAAGTTCTCTGTGGCCTAGCTAAAAGATTTGTTTGAAGTCAATTTTTATCTTCATTACAAGCTTCATCTCCTGTCATTCCCCACCCTGCATGTTGTGCTATAGTGCCACTCATACCATTTTCATCCAAGTCTTTTCTCATTTTCCTGTCTTTCCCCACAAAACATTCATGGTCTGTCTCCTTACCATAATTCATACTATCAATTAAAGATGAAAAAAAAATCTAATAAAGACTCCTGATCTCTTTCCATTTATTTCTTAGATTGCTTAATACTTTAATTCAAAAGAATAAATGATAAGAATGATTCTATATGCTGTCACGCTCTTGGGAAAGAGCAACAGAGATCTTGGTGATGACTGAAATTATACCTTGCAGGTAATCATCACCCTATGGGGCTGGCTGGGCTTGGCCAATGGAATTCCCACTCTTTGGAGGGCAACCCTTCCTAATAAGGTAGCATATATAATGTATGGGGCTGAGGATATGGCTTGAGAATGGGTTCTGAGTGTTTTCTTCATCATTCCCTGTTGATCAAGCCTTAGGCAAAACATCTCACTTTTCTGATCATCATTTATTTTTATTGGTAAGATAATATCTACTTCCAAAAGTTATTATATATATTAAATGACAACAGGGTATTTAGAGAGACTTCAGATAGTGAAGAAAGGACTTTGTAGTCTATAAAGCTCTATAGAAATGTGAAAAAGAGTGCTATAAGAAAGAAGTAGACATGGAGTCAAATTACATGGTCTTATGGGTTGATCTATGTCCCACAAGAAATATGTTAAAGTCCTACCTAATTAAGTTAAGGTGAAGCCATTAGGGTAGGCCCTAATCTGGTATCACTGATGTCTTTAAAGGAAAAAAGGCACACAGGGAGAATGTCATATGACAAGTAGGCAGATAGGGAGTGATGCACCTATACTCTAAGGAACAAGGATTCTGAGTCATCACTAGAAGCTAGGAGAGGGGCATAGAAAAGATTCTTCATCAAAATTCTCAGAAGAACTAACTCTTTGACACCTTGAGATCCAATTTCTAACTTCCATAAGTATGAAATAGCACATTGCATTGTTTTAAGGCACTCTGTTGTATTCAGTTGTGACAGCCCAAGGGAACTAATATGCATGGGTATGAATTTTAGCTCCATCACTTACTAGCTTTGTGAATTAGAGTTAGGTTGTTGGAGCTTTCACCCTAATACTTTAAGCATACTTACCTTTCTGTAATTGTTTCTCTGAGGCCACTTGCCACACCTTTGACCACAGTGCTAGCTTTGGGGGTCAGCACCACCTGAGATATAAAAAACGAGCCCTTCTTTCTTCTCTCAGTGATGGATGCCTGAAGAAACTGGATCAGTTTTTCAGGATCTGTGGTGTTAGCCCAGGGTGCTGGCATCATTTGCCCAGGCCAGAGAAATGGTACTTCCAGAGCCACTGGGCTGTGGTAGAAGACTAGCACTTGATAGTCCTTCTCCCACAGGTATTTCAAGCTAACTTCCTGGGCAAAAATTGCTGGACACATTTTGTTTCCATAGATGTCTTTCAGCATTTGGACCAATTTTTCATGATGATATTTCTGCATCCCATAAAAGTGGTTGAAGTCCAAGAATACTACTTCCTTATGGTGATCTGTGAGGAATGCATTGATCTCCTCAAGACCTTCATTGACTTTGGCACTAAACAAGCCATGAGCAAAATAGAGTTCATTGTCGGGATCTCTGGGCTTGGTGGAAATTCGAAGATCAAAATAACGGATTCCAGCTCCTAGCTGACCAGTAAAGTTCATTGTTTGAGTGGCTAACCATTTCCGCATCAGCTTCTTGGCTACAGTTCCGAACACAGAGACAAAATTCTGGACAGTTTCTGGTTGTTCAGGACTACTGGAGAGGCTTCATCAATGTAGAAGCTGAAGGAATCATGGGATCCTGGGAGAATAATAAGGCATAATGTGATTAATTTCCAAATTTAGAATTGCTTCCTCAAAAGAACAAGGACTATTTATTTAATTACTTTTTTGTAGTTATAAGGATTAAAACTCCATAAATACAGTGATAACATTTATAATTTGCCTATTAACAGAGTGTCCCTTAAACTATTATTGGGACCCAATAAAAAAAACAGCATTTCAAGTTGAGTTTTTTTTTTTAAATCTTCCATTAATTCATGGGCATGATTTACTGCGTTATCAAAATTAAGCAATGGGCCAGCATGGTGTAGCTCACCTATCACCCCAGTTCCTCCGGAAGCAGAGATAAGAGGCTCAAAAGACCAAAAATTGTATGTTCTCCCCCATATGCAGACTTTAGATCTAGGGCAAATACAGCAATGTGGTTGGACTTGGATCGCATGACAAGGGGAGAGCACATATGAGAGGTATAGTGATAAGTAAGAAACCCAAAACATGAAAGTATTTAATGTCCCCACTGCAGAGGGACTAATACAGAAACCTTAAAGCAACAGAGGTCAACTTGAGAAGGGGATCAGAAACTAGTGAAGAGGTCAGTTAGAGATGAGTCAACTTGGGATGTAACACATTTGTACATGGAAGAAATGCTAGGAATCTCTCTGAATAGCTATCCTTATCTCAACTAGCAAAAACAGTTTGTCTTTCTTATTATTGCTTATGTTTTCTCTTCAACAAAAATTAGAGATAAGAACAGAACAGGTTCTGCCTGGAAGCGAGGGGTAGTGGAAGAGAGAGGGAGGGGTAGGGAGATTGGGGGAGAAATGGCCCAAGCAATGTATGCACATGTGAATAAATGAATAATAAAAAAGAAGATATAAAATTGTAAATATATATTCACTGAAAATAAGTTCAGCCAATTTCATAAAAACAAAACAAAACACTATTTAGAATGAAGGCACAGATGGGTTCACATAAAAAAAAAAAAAAGAGGATCACAGTTAGAGGCCAGCCCAGGCAAAAAGTTAGCTCCCATCTCAACAAATAAGTGTTTTGTCATTCATCAATAACCCTAGCTGTGTGGGAGGTGGAGGTAGGAGGATTCACTCTCAGGCCTGCCTGTGCAAAACCAGGAGACCCTATCAAAAGAAACAAACTAAAATACAAAAGGACCTGGGGTGTGGCTTAAACTGAAAAGCAAAACAACCAGGGGTGGAATTCAAGTGGTAGAGAGCTTACCTACCAAGCATGAGACCTTGAGTTAAATATCCAGTACACACACACACACACACATATCCTGGATGCTTTCGTCTCTAATGTTATAAAGGGCAAACATACTTCATGTTTTGACACCTTTCTTTCTTTTCATGACCTGGTCCCAGTACCGTCATTGTCCATCTGTCCATCTGTTATTCAAGCTGCCCCTGGGCACACTTTGTTGCCTCAATCCTGACATAGGTCATTTAAGGCACAGCCTTTCTTAGATTTTTCAATTTCTCAACCTAAAACTCACCTACACATATTACACAAACACACCCCTCTAAGTTTATTCATCATTCTATCTCTCATGGTATTTGTCTAATAAGCTATTTGTCTAATAAGGTATTTGTCTAATAAGCAATGTTTTTCAGGGATGCAATATTTACCTATCCCTGTATTCCATATCTATATATCTATACCCATCCATATGCATATCTATATATCTCTGCCTAGCTTTAACAGCCCATAGGAATAACAAAGTATGGATTTCAGACACCACAGTAAATTGGTAGAGAAAATATTTTGCAAAGTACTTTTTATTTATTTATTTATTTGCTTATTTATTTATTTATTTTGGTGGTACTGGGAGTTGAACTAAGAACCTGGTACTTGCTAGGCAGGCACTTTACCACTCAAGCCATATTGTCAGCTCTGTTTTGATGTTTTTGAGACAGGGTATGGCTATGTAGCCTAGGCTAACCTGGAACTTACTATATAACTCACCAAGCTGCCTTCAAACTCAAGGTTCTCCTGCCTCACACTCCCAAGTGTTGAGATTGTGGGTGTGCATCCCTATACCTGTTTCAAAAACACTAAAATAACCCAAAATCATAACATTTAAGATTTAGAGCAGATAACCTCTCAGAATTTTTAGGTTTCTGAAAGCAATGAAAGTTTACTCAAATACACAGAAATGCTATTTTTAATTTAATCTGAAATGGTATGATCTATTTATCTTTAGTCAATGGTATAGGAAGAAAATGTCATCCTTTTCTGAATAAGCAAAACTGGCAGTTTGGATCTGGCATTGGAAATTTTTAATAGGCATTTAAATTGCTGCATATTGATTTATTAGTAGCTGTTCAGTTGACCATTAGTCTAAATGCAGAAACCAAACAAACTGTGCTGTCATTAAATTCACATGGAAAGGTGTGTGTAAAGTAAGTAATAAAAGAATATATTTAAGAAGAATTATAAATAAGTGGACTAAGATTAAAACATATAATAAATACACCCACAAAATGAGAGTCAAAAAGGATTGCACATGAAGAAAAGAGGGATGAAAATAATTCACTACTTCTGTAGTTTTGTAAAAGACATAATTAAACACAGGTACAAAGAGAATTAAAAATAGCTAGATTTCGTTTTCTAGAAGAGTGGTTCTTTGTTTTTAGTATGACCTTAGTTTTGCCTTTTTATCATGTAGTGATATGGTAAATAAAGTTTCTTAAAAAACGTGAAAAGGCACAGAATGCATGAATTTCGAAAATCTTCTGAAAGGAAATTATAGTCTCTAGATTACTTGTTGACCTTCAAAAAAGTACGTTCAGAAGGCCAAAATAAGGGAATGTTAAAAATAAAAGCTAAACACATTAAATGGAAAGACAAACCCAGGGTGCCTCCACCAATATTCGTTTTGAGATAGAGACAACTAGGAACAGGGACAGCACGGGATGTGGAATGGTTTACTGTGAGTGCATTATTAGAAAGAAGAATTAAGCAAATCCATACAAAGTGCTATCTATGAATTTTAGAAGAAAATACATAATCTATTGATAACAGGAAAAGAAACATTTTAATGACTTTCAATTGCATTTAGAATAGTACTTCCTTCCCAATTCTAGCTCTTTCACGAAACCATTAAATTTAGTATTTGCTTGATCTTAAAACAAAAATACAGCAATACTTTATGACCTTTCAAAAGTTGAGTGGGTAAGTTTTGCCTAATCTTATCACTTTAATACTGGAGAGTGCTCTTTCTTCATGAATCTTCCTGCATTATCGGGTCTAATATTTTGCTTCATCCTTGACTTGGTATTCCTGGGTTCCTGACCTCTTAGCCCTCCTCTCATCGAAAGCCTCAAACTCGGAGCTTGGCCTCATACTTAATGCTGCTCTTCTGATTCTAAATTTACCCTCTCAATTCTGGATTTCATTTGTCCTCCGTCCTCACACAAAGGTTGGTCACTCCTGTTATGAACCTAGTCACATCAAGTTCCTTTGCTGTAGCTCTGAAAAGAGACTATTTCTTTGGAAAAGGGCACTTTCATTGGTTTCTCCTCAGTCTGACAATTTCCCAAGCAAGCGGTGTGGTAGGAACTTCTAAGATGACTCCTAACAATCTCTGTCCTCCTGGCTGAGTGTGGCCTGAACCTAGTGACTTGCTTTTAGTAAACTAAATGAGGCAAAAATGATGGGATGACACTTCTGAAACTGTTACGAAAGACTATGATGTGTTCCTTGTTTTGATGAACCATATTGGAAAGGCCAATGTGGCAAAGAATTTGGAATAGTTCCCAGCCAATAGACAGCTATGAATTGGGGCCTTCAGTCCAAGGAACAAAATCTTGTCAACAAATATCAATTGCTCATGTTAGCAGACACTGCCCTAGTGGGACCTTGACTGAAGTCTTGTGAGAAAGACTGAGGTACAGGATCCATAAAACTATGCTGGGACTCCTGACCCAAACAAATCTGCAGGAAATGTGTGCTGTTCCTCCTTAATTTCTTAATTTAGTGTTGATGAGTATTTTTCCTTCTCTTATTTCTTTGATCAGTCCAACCAGAGGTGCTTACCTTTAATGACCTTTCCTAAGAACCAGTTTGTTTCTTTTTGTTGTTGTTCATTTCCTATTTTATTAGCCTCTTTTTAAAATTTATTTTCTTTTTTATTATTGTGCTGGGGCACATTGTGACATTTACAAAAGTTCTTACAATGTATCATAGTTGAATTCACCCTCTCCATCATGCTCCTTTATCCTCCTCTCCCCCCATTCCTGGAATAGTTTCAACAGATCTTATTTTTCCATTTTCATTCATGTGTACACAATATTGGTACCATATTCACCCTCCTACTCCCTCTCCCTACATCCTCCCCACTGCCACTAGTACCAACCTCTCAGACAGGAGCTGTTTTGCCCTCCTATTCTCCATTTTTGTTAAAAACAAAATGACATTTTTGTTTGTTTAAGATAGTGATAGAAGGAGTTTTCTTGTGGCATTTCCATGTATATATGTATTATAACCTGATTTGGTATTTGTCATTTTCTATTATGAATTGCTTTTATTTTGCTTTTCTTTCTTTCTTTTTGTTTGGCAGTACTAAAGTTTGAACTCAGGGCTTTGCTTGCTCTACCACTTAAGCCATGCTCCTAGCATTTCCCTTTTTCTTTTAGCTTTTAAGGTTGCAATTTGGATCTGTAATTTTTAGGCCTTGTTCTTTAAAATATAAGCATTTAATTTTAGAGCTTTTTCTCTAAGCATTGCTTTAGCCACATCCCAGAAATTTTCTATGCCTTGTTTTCATTTTCATTCCATTAAATTTATTTTCCCTGTGATTTATTCTTTGACCTCTGGCTAATTTATTAAAGCATTATTTTCCACATATTCATAGATTCTTACATAGATAGCTATTTGTTCTTCTTGCTAAGTTAACTACATTTTTATCAGGACAACATACTCTAATTTCAGTCTCTTTTGGGAGACAGGCAGGATCTCACTATTTAACCCAGGCTGGCCTCAAATTTCTCTATGTAGTCCAGGCTTA